TGTGGATGAGACTCCTAGTTTGTGCCCAGCAAAGAAGGGGTATGAGGCACATGTACCAAGCGGGGCAATATACTAGTACTCCGGGTTTGAACCCGGCGTTCAGTGCTGCCGTCGGCCTGGCGAAATTGGCCGGGAAATGTGGATCGGCAGATCGGTTCGTACCGGAGAAGTAGCGATTGGTGGCTGGGGATTGTACTAGACACGTATGACGATATAAAGTCTTTGGTTTGATGGCATTTAATGATACTGGCGATGTGCTAGGACATGAAATAACGCTTGCAGGCTTATTTGCATAAGGCCAATGACCTACCACTTTCTTCGCCGGCGACGGTTCACTTTAGACGGTGGAAAATCCTCCTCGGACCCCCCGCTGAAGGATCGCACGATAGGGTCCGAGGTGGTAGTGACGACGATTCGAGGATTACCGTCGTGCGACTATTTTGATCGTCTTTAGACGGTTGTAAAATACCGTCGCCGGCAACATCTTGACGATAAACATTCGTACGACTATTTAACCGTCGTCAGTCTAAAGTGCCCCCTAGTTTGAGGCCAGTAGAGACCTGGGCCTAACAAATGGAACGCCTCTCGGTCTTTTTCACCCCTCCAGTTGTGACCACGACCTCTGTGACCTCCAGAATGTTTGCATTAACTCAGAGGTCATCCTATACAGCTCTGAAATATAGTCTGACCTGTGAGGAAGCATAGTGACCCGCCATATAAGGCCAGGTTGGAAAAGCGAGGGATTATGTGACCAGAAGATGAGCAGACCCTGTACCATGTCACCAGCATGTCAACTGCAAGAATGTTTGCAACAACACAGAGACTTCTGGGGGATCCAAAATTTATTCTTTTCAACATGCCATCATCAAATGTCCCGAGAACACCTTATAGTTCATCGAAACAGTAGTTGTATGTACTCTGTTTACTTTGACTTTGACACTGTACCTCAATGAATTAGCTTCAGATTTTGCAACTTTAAGATTGTCATCACCTTCATTTTAGTCTGAAGCTCCCTATTTTAAAAGTCAGTTGTCAACTGGTAGGACATACACAAGGACACAAAGAATGTTGTTTGCTTATTTGTTTGTTTTTGTTTATTCATTTATTTATTTGAGCCTTGTATATACACTTAACATTATATTTCAGAACTCAGGAAAATACTGCAAACATGTTACTGTTTTTCAGTTATATCACAACAACAATTGTAACATATACTACTTCAGGTTAAAATTCTGTACTGTGATTTAATTGGTTGAATCACAATTATGATTGTCGTCTCCTTGTAGCGCTTCAATTGATTTTGTTGAAAAGACCTAATATTGGCTATGATATGATAAAACTTTACTTCTAGAAGTTTATATTAGATAAATCTGAAAAGCGTCAGTCTCACACTCTGACCCAAAATGAATAAACTGTCTTATCATGAGTGTAAATATCACTTGTTTGGCAGAACAGATTACTTTTCTAGCAGACAGCAGGCAGAGATTTCTGAAGTGTAAATTTGATCAGCCCGATAACAACACACTTTCCCAAACCCACTCCCAAAACCATTACGCACATGTTGATCACACTGAGAAGAGCCACGTTGTATTTTGACTGAATTAGCTCACCCGGTTTAGAATGACATCTCCCATGGACTAAAATACTAACAAATGTCACCAACAACAAAGGCATATTTTCCCCCAGACTGTTATCCACACCCTGCTAAAAGCATGACACATTCCAGGCCAAATCTTTCCAAATAAACCTTTTGTGTCGGTCTTGAAATAAAAGATGCAGTTGTGACCCCAGTACTGACTGACACATGTCTGTACTCTCTCTGCGTCACGGCAATGTTGACTCTCAGATATACGATGATTCATCTAGTTAGAGAAGCTCAGAACCAGCTACTGTTGCCTGTGCTTCACAGAAACATCATCACTTGTTTTAATGCAAACATCATTATCATAATGATTAAGTCTTGATATATAGGTAATCTACTATAATTGTTACTCAGCTACACAATGATTCGTTCAGAACCCACCCACTGTTGCCTGTGTTTCAGAGAAATATCATCACTTATCTTAATGTAAAAATCCATTAAAACAACCCTCATTAGGCCACACCAATTTAATTTGTTGGTTCTCGGATTCGCCTCTTCATTTTTTTCTGATTTGCAAAAAAAAAGAATTCTGGTTCTGAATCAACTAAAAAATGCTCATATTTTGCCCCCAACAGCTGAGGAAATTCCTTTTCTTCCTAGTTGTTACAGTTTTTTCCATCTATCAATGCAGTGGTTTGATTAAAAGTTCAAAATTTATACTTTAAATTTTAACCCAGCCTTTTTTGTTGACTTCATGGCTCATATTGTAGCATTTGGGGCTATAATAGGATGCCTAGACCTGTTTTTATTTTTATTTTTTCGCCCTGTCGCTTCATATTTTTTCTGGAAAAATCAGAGAACCAACAAATTAAATTGGTGTGGCCTTATCTTCAAAATTAAGTCTTGATTATTATAATCCACCATCTTGACTATATGATTCAGAGAAGCTCAAACCTCACCTACTGTTGACTATGTTTATCAGAAACCTCATCTCTTGTTTTAATGTAAATGCATAAACATTCATTAAAACAAACCTTGTTATCTTAATAATTAAGTTTTGATTACTATCAATATCTGTTAAAGTAATATATCATCGTTTCTGATGCTGACTCTCAGCTACATGTACACAATGATTCATTGGAAAGGCTGACAGAACCCACCTACATGTACTGTTGCCTGTGTTTCACAGAAACATCATCACTTGTTTTAATATAAACATTTGTAAAGACAACCCTCATTATCTTAATGATTAGGTCTTAATTACTATCTATATCTTATGATCTACCATCAGTTCTATATTTGACTCTCGCTCATAACATCGATTCATTAGCACAACTTAAAACTCGCCTATTGTTGCCTGTGTTTCACTGAAACATCATCAGTCGTTATAAAAAATATATACATTAAAACAATGTTTATTACCTTAATAAGAATTGATTGCTATCTAAATCTTCAGGTAATCTTCCTTTCTATTGTTGACATACTACTCCTTTCTATTGTTGACTTACTCTTCACACTGTGATTATAATATGTAGAACCAACCAGGGGTACCTGCCTGTATTTCAAAGAAACATTAAATATTATCACCACTTGTCATGCTGTAAACATCCATTAGACCAATCCTAATTATCTTCATAATTAAGGCTTGATTATCACCGGTATCTTAAGGTAATCTACCATCCTTTCTCTCCTTGACGGAAATGACAGGGAAACTATAAACGCAACAAGCGGAGCGGAATGATTCATGAACCAGTCGCAGACAGTCACGCTAGACGCAGTCGTTTAGAACGTTTTAGAACACCCAGCAGTAAACATGTTAATCCTACGGTGACTCGACTTTCATATCGTGCAACAATTGTTCACGCTTCTTCACTAATCATGTCTGACTCCCTGGCAAAGCAATTACATAACCGTGAAGTACTTCTGATGATCGAGAGGAAAACAACATAATCATCGCTGCATAACAGAATTAGCGCTGTCTCCGTTTTTGGTTCCGCATATTGAATTTGTAATCACAATGCACAGGGAATGGAAGATAAAAGAGTTCATCTTGCAAATATTGTCTCCAAGTTTAAGTCAATGAAAACTCTTATCTCTTTTCTACATAGCATCGTTAGAACAAAAAACCTTTATTTTATTTACATCACATGTGTCATCTTCATAACATGACATCACAGAAGTGGTGGATTGCTCATTCCTTGACAATGACTCTTACCAACACAGATGAACTTTTAAGATAACTTTATCCTAAAGTTACCAACTTTATCTTGAAATGTGATTAACACCTCTAAAAGTTTGTACACATCTCTTCAACTATTTCTTTAGAATACAAGTTGATACAGGAGGTCTTAGATTTTAAGGTGCTTCAAAGTGTATTAATTAGTATTATAGTGTAAGTATAATGTAAGTGTAATACCTGTAAATGACAATGTTCAGACCTTTCGCTGACAGCTACAAACCCATAACACCATACAGCAGAATTCTAGCCAGAATCTGTCTTTCCATCATTTGGCTGAACTTTCCTGCTCATGACAGACAAAAATTTTGTCCAATCTTTCATTTTTGGACAAAAAATTGCATGTAAAGATATGAAAAGAGTTGTCATTAAACTAAGCTTAGTCTACCAGCAAAATGTGCCCTTCAAAATGCAAATAGGTCAGGATTTCAAACTTTAGAAGGCGTTGAGATGACGAAAAAATTTCAGGCTGGCTAGAACACTGCCATACAGTATTACCTGTGTGTGGCTCTGTGTCTGTCAACAGGTTAGGGGCTAAAGAATGTACTACAGCTTGCACCTCTGAATTACTGGAATCCCCTGATGTTTTAGAACATGACCTTTTGCAGGAAAGTGTTACTCGGGCCGTTCCATAAACTTTCCTGATGACTGTCTGGCTGGGAAGTTTCTTTTTAAACAGTATTCCTAATATTCACTCTACACAAAAAGTTTTGAAACTTTGTTTGTGGGTCACCATAAAAAGTGCTTCAGAGGCAGCTGGAAAGAGTATACAGTAACATTGCCAAGGAAGTTGATCTGCTAAAGGAGTATGTAGCTTGCCGCTGTCTATTTGGCCAATTTCTGCTTTTTCCAGCCGCTTCTGAAGCCTGATGGAGGCTAGAATTTCTGCATTTTAACATTGTAACACACTTGCATATTCAGCTCTGGTGTTTGGTGTTTAGTAAGGAGTTTAGTAAATCATGCTACCTGTAGTCCAGGTGAGAAGACCACCAGTAGGTGTTTTGTGAACTCAAAGACTAACAGTTACACAAGATCCTATGGAGTATAAGAATCATGCTACCTGCTATCCAGGTGAGCAGGTGTACATGTATTTCCTGTGAAAGACTATGGTAACAGTTACACAATACAAGAATCTAAAGCGGTTAGTAAAAAACCATGCTGATGTCCAGGTTCCCAGCTTACCTATAGGTGTGTGTCCTGTGAAGTCAAAGTCTCCATTTTCAAGGTGCATCTTTTTGTGGTCGTGGATGAGGGGGGGCATCAGGGGCGGCTGAGCTCGCTTCGGCGGTCGACCGGGGCGGCTACTGCAGAAAAACAAAAAGAGACGGGGCAGATGAGTTAACAGCAATATTAATGATAGTTAATGAGTTAGTTATAATAAGTTTATTGAAATTTCTTACCATTTACATGTAGCAGGGAAAAAATGATAAACAACGCAACATATTCCATAAATGCTTCTATAAATCCTCACATGTTAGGTTTGACTTTTTTTTGGAAAGAGTGAAAAATGGAAAAACTCGTGATGCTGAGAGAATCACTTCACTTTTTTTGTCTGTATAAAATGTGGAGTATCATAGGGTCATCTGAAAAAGGGAGGGATTCTTCTTTCCACACCTCTATGTAACATCTTCTTCCATTCACGTCTTTTAACTATCAGCCCATTACTGCTTTCTCCACTCAAACTCACGCTCAAGTGTAACATCAGGGCCAAACGCAACTGGCAGTCATCCAACAGACCACCCACTTGATAATATGTGATCTAGAGATATACTATACAATGGGCATGACTGTACTCCTTGGTTGAAACAGGCATTTAAATAACAGTACTGGCAAAATATTCTGAAGCAAAGCCCGTTTGATTACTAGTACTTGTGACATTACATGAATGAGCACAAAAGAATTCTGAATGTGTAGTCCAATTTCTGTCTTCTAAAGTAAAGGCATTGTAAAATCTTTTTTTACCTTGTCTTTGGCTGATAAATTCATTGAATGAAGTAAATAATAAGCGTTTTGCAAAGCAATTGAAAAATGAAAGAGCATAGAAGAATTCAGAATGTCTCGTCCAATTTCACTTTGGTATGTTTTAAATTAATTACATTTCATATCCAACCCCTTACGCTCTTTCAAGGCTGTATCAAAGAATTTTTTCACCAAAGGGCCTCCTTCCATATGCTTCTATTTCTGGAGCATATTCCAGCCATGATTTGATTGTACATTATACAATAACTGTTATCAGAGCCAATTTAACCTTCTCCCTGCTGCCTAAGGCCGACTTTAGACTGACGACAGTATATGATCGCACGACAATCGTTGTGGGCGACGGCTGGCTTTAGACACATGACCAGGAAGTGTGGCGGACACCCGCAGCGCAGGATGGCACGCCGCGCGCCAATTCGTACCGGAGAAGTAGCGATTGGTGGCTGGGGATTGTACTAGACACGTATGCTCGTATAAAGTCTTTGGTTTGACGACATTTAATGATACTGGCGATGTGCTTGGACATGAAATAACGCTTGCAGGCTTATTTGCATACGGCCAATGACCTCCCACTTCCTTCGCCGGCGACGGTTCACTTTAGACGGTGGAAAATTCTCCTCGGACCCCCCGCTGAAGGATCGCACGATAGGGTCCGAGGTGGTAGTGACGATGATTCGAGGATTACCGTCGTACGACTATTTTGATCGTCTTTAGACGGTTGTAAAATACCGTCGCCGGCGACATCTTGACGATAAACATTCGTACGACTATTTAACCGTCGTCAGTCTAAAGTGCCCCTAACCCTGCAACCAAAGAACTTGATGGGCAAAGTGCTACTTTGGCATGCTAAAGGTTAAAAGGAAAATGCAGCGAACTAAGCTTCAACTAAGCACTGCTTCCTCTGACGCACAGAGAGAAAATTAATCTTCCTGATTTCATTAATGATACATTAGAAAGGAATTACAAGCTATCTTTTATGTAGCAAAGTGAACACTTCTGTTCCGTTAGTTCCATTTGGGGCTACATTTAATGTATAACTTGGTTCTGTATGTGACCCAATATTAGAGTTTGATATCAAATTTATAACGTTAAAATTACCAGCATGTAGGCAAAACATAATGTTTTTCGTTCAATGTTTGGTCAATGTTATATCAGACTTTTGCAGACAATATCTTTCCTCTGACACAACATTTGAAAACGGGATATCATCCTTAAATACACAAATACAATTAATTAAATGAGACTTTCCGCCAAAGAGCTATGCACAATGCATTTCAAGTTCTGCACATACACAGTACGTTCTGCCAACATGCTGGCACTTGGAGTGTAACTATCTCACCAGTGTTAATAATAATCATAATCCATAAACAGAAGCTTCCATGTGTAATCACCGGGGAAACTTGACAAGAGGATTAGGATTTGAGAAGTATACAGGAAGCTTTGACCATCTTAAAACCTATGAGTATCAATAAATGATGAAATAATGGGACAACTAAACCAAGCTGGGTTGATATTCTCCAGAACACTCTGTATCTATAGTCCTGCTGTCAAATGTCACATTACGACTCGGTCGTGATTGATTAGTTGGTGTTCGATTTCTTATGAAATTTTAACAAGGATGGCATGACTTATGACAATTGATAAAATATCATACACAATATAGTTACCGTCATATAATAGCTACAATATTCGAATGTGATAAAGTTAAAATTTTCATATGAAATAAAGCTTGCCAGTAAACTTGTCTTTCAGATGCTATAAACAAATTCATAAAATGAAAAAAGTTTTAAATGATACATTATCTTATTGTGCTTTATAGTATAAATTACCAAGTTGACTGAAAACAGCAGAGATCACAACTCTTTTTTAAAAATTATACAGTTAATAATGGTATACATTTAGTAGTCAAGATAAAAATATATGACGTTGTAGCAATATTACATCCAGAGAGACATCAAATCCAACTAGCAAAATAAAAAGCATGTGTCGCCCAGCTAAACTCTGTTATTCCTGCTCCAAACCTACCTCATCATTCAACTTCTCTACCGAT